CTTTAGTACAGAACCAACCCCCACAGCCACCCCTTTCTGTCATTCCCATCACCGCTTGCGGGTACCCCAAATTCACACCCCCCCCACCCCTGGTCCTGCCCAAGGCATTTCCTTTTGTTTTCAGCTCGGTGAAGAAGGAGGAACAGGGAGGGGAGGGCAGCGATGGGCAGGGGAGGGGGGCCTGACACTGAATTTGCAATTGAGATGGGCAGTGGTGGCAATTTCCTCTTGCTGTTGGCAGTGTGTGGAGCTCAGCCTTCACCCCCTTTGCCAGCACCGAGGCAGGAGAGCCGGGAGCGGGACCTTTCCTCAGCTACCCGGGGCAGGAATGGGGCCACCTCGTCCTTCCTCCTCCTCCTCCCAGCCCAAGGAAGGGACGAGGCGGTGCTGGGCTGGGAACGAAACAAAGACACTTGGTTCGTGTTGGCGTTAAGGAACACTTATTTCTTGGCAAAGTGGTGGGCCCTCGCGTGGCAGGCGGTGCTGCAGGCAGTGCTCGGAGAAGGCACGGGAGATTCTGCTGTGCGTTCTTAAAGGAAAGGAAAGAAGGAAACCAGCCATTCACCCTCTCGCTAAAACCCTCGCTGCTTCCAGGGATGGAGGCTGGGCAAAGACGATGGCGTTGTACAACCAGTTACAACCAGGCTCCCCAAAGCCGAACGGGATGAAGGAAAGGCAGCAGAGCTTCCTCCAGCCCTGCCTGCCCGGGGCCAGGAACCAGGGGGGCACCAGCAAGAGCCCACGGGGGAGAAACTAAGCCCAAGCAAAGCAAACTCCTTCCTGCCTCCTGCTCTGTCCCATGGCTTCAAAAAAGGTCAGTTCAGAGCCAACCTGGGGCCTCTGCTCCAAAAAAACAGGACTCACCAAATGGCTACAAGAGACTGAGGTGAGGCAGGACGCAAGGTGAAGAGATGATCTCCAGGAAAGCAGCAGGCGAGGCAAAGCCTCCATTGCAGCCCCTTCTCTGGAAGCCCCGCAGCCAATCACCCACCCTGCCACGGCGAGGAATCGCCGCAGGACTGCTGTGGGAACCACGGGTCCTGAAGACAGAGCCTGGCCCATCCCTCCCGTGATTGAGGGCTTGACCCACTCCACTGTCAATAACCCAGTGCTTGTCCTCCATTGAAGCCTGCTGATGCTTTGGTGGGCACGGCTGCAGCATCCGCTGGGCTTCAGCCAACTGGAGCTGCAGGATTACTTCCCCCAACAGCACAGACAAGCCAGAACAGACAAAAGTTCCTCTGCTCCCCATGGCTGGAGCCGCTAAACCTTCACGAGGCTCTCTCCAAAAGTTTCATGGCCATTCATGAGCAGAAGAGCTGGATCTCTTCAGACTCCCTAGGAAGGAGCCCCATTTCTCACAGCCAAGGGGTTTTTCTTCACCACCCTCCACTGCCAGTTTACCTCGACCTTGCTTTGTACAAAAACTGGAATCTTTTACATCCAGCAAGGTCACAGCCAAGTCCTTGTCTACCAATTCCTGCTTTGGAAACGGCGAGAAAAGCGTGCGTGCGCACACCCAGGAGGAACTGTAAAGGCTCGGTACCATTTCTCAAGGTGGAAGACTGGTGGACATCCCTGTATCTATCAACCTGTGGGTAAACACCTTCCCCCTGGCTGGGTTTTCGTTTGTTGATTGGTAAATTCTTGCACTCGAGTGCTCGCTTCCCCCACTTCTCGCTATGAAGTCACTGGGGGCAGATCCCACAAGCAAAGAACAAACCCCAGCGTTAGAGGAAAAACTTTAAAAACCACAAGTGGAGGAAAAAGAAAACAAGTCACAAGTGCAGCCCAGCCCTCAGGCTACAGCGTGCAGGTAAGACTACGGTAATTTGAAGTTCCTTTGGACATGCATTTCTCTTTTTCAAAGTGAAAACCCCTTACAGACGCATGGAGCCCAACTCTCAGAGAGGAAATAACCTGGCTGCTTCACTTGGGTGAGTACCACTGAAAACGAGGGATGGAGATGCACGATTTTGGCTTAGCCTCTCTCCCATAGACCCAGCATCGTGGTACTCTGGTTCCCACTGCTAAATAATGGTAAAAAAAAAGCCAACCAAAAACAACCCCCAAAAAACCCCGAAAAACAAAAATCCCCCCGAACAAAACACCAAAATGATATACGTATGAGCAGTTTGACACGAAGTGACCGCAGTGTGTGATCAGTTCCTGGTGCCGACATCACACAGGGCGAGGGGCGAAGGTGGAGGAGGAGGAGGGGGTCAAAGTTCTAAGGTCAAACCGATGTCTCCAAGCTGTGTAAGGGGCTTTCGGGCTCCGGGACGGTGACCTCAGCTCGATCGCTGTCCACTGCATTGTTATTTCTGTTGAGGGATGCAGATCCACCCAGGCTACCCCCACCTCGCTTTTTGAGTCCGTCGGTCTCGGGGTCATCTTCGGCGCCGTCAAGGAATGGTGTTCGAGGCTCGTCTTCCTCCAGGATGAACTCTGGGTGAGTCATGAAGTTATGGATGGAGCTTCTGGATTCGGGTTTCTCGAGGCCTTCGTACAAGGAGCTACGGAACGCATTCACCACTTTGATCTGCCGGGGGGCGAGGAGCGTGGGGGACAAACAAAACCGGGGTTAGTAGCGGCTAAGAGAGGCCAGAGCTCCCGGGAGAAAGGCAAAAGAAATCATAAAGACACGATAAAACAAACAGCACAACAACAACAAAACACATCTCCACTGAACACACAGCTAAGTCAAAATGAGATCTACGGTGAACTAGGAGGGCCAACATGGATCAGACTCAGGCACTAGGTGGGTGATGGGGAATCAACCGACTATGGGGCGACTTCAGAAGCTGCAAGAAAAGACACAAAAAACTCAAAAAAAACAACCACCCAGATCACTTCGAATGAATGGAAGCCAAAATGCATTAGTTGGTCATTGTGTGTGCGCACGTATCTGTGTGTGTCAACGAGGACAACAACAGTGGAACTACAACTCAAAAAAGAGGTGGGTTAGACAAACAGTGGGCTCGCTTCAAGGCAAACAGCTCTACTGGGGGAGCGGGGCGTGCGCTGGTTCTAGGTCAGTTTTTAGACCTACAGAAAGGAAATGGGCTTGAAAAACGTGTCACAAACTTTTCAAGCCCATGTGAAGCAGCAGGTCCGAGTGGATGCCACGAGCAGTAAAACTGGACCCAGCTAAACATGCAAGAAGGAAGCCAGATCTGTGCGAGTTTCCCCACACATCTGCTGCCTGGATCCCGGGCTGGAGCTGCGGATCCTGCCCTACGCGGTCAAGCGGAGGAAGACGCAGCAGTTTCCATAGGCAGCTGCTGTTCTCTTGGATGCTCGGCCCGAAAAACCATCCCAAAGTTTGCACTGCCCAAAGCCAGGCTCAAGACATCACAAGCAGGAGATCCAGAGCCTGGTTTGGCCAACCAGGGTATGGCTCTGCTACCTCTGTTGCGCTGGAAGGGAGAGGTCTGGAAACAAGCCCAGATGGAGGCGAGCAGTGGGGTCACTGCTCCCCCCAGTTCCTCTGCAAGTCTGGGCTCAAACCCATCCCTCCCTTGCAGCCAAGTCACAGTTTTGGGTTGGATGGGGTGACAAGTGTCGGATCCAGCAAACGAAGGGGCAGGAGGTGGCAGCGCCATGGGGCTGTGGTGGACATCTCCACCCCAGTGCAGATGCTGGCATGCATGACAACCAACATGTGCACCACGGACAGCAGAGCTCTCCAGCTCTCGTGGATGACTCAGGGCTAGGGTCACTCAAGGGACATCCAAAAGGCATAAACTGAAGGAGAGCGATGCAATACGTGGGCTTTTGAAGCAAACCGAGCAGCTGAAGGTCTCCCAAGGAAGAGCTCCCCAGCACATCATGCTCTCAGAGCATCCCTGCGGTTGTTCCTCCGGGTCTTACACCAGTGCTCTCCCCGCTGACTCTTTCACATCACACCAGCACCCTCCTGGGACCCTCCCAGTCACCCAGGAGCTGGGCCATCTCCTCCCTTTAAAGGGGAGGAAGCTACTGACAGAAGTCACCAGCACGGACCAAGCAGCAGCAGTGCCATTCGTCCTGCTGTCTCCTGCCCCATGCAAACAGCTCTGCTACTCACAAGCTATGTTCACCTGCTGCCAACACCCCAGGAACCCAGTCCCCTGCCTGCTCTCCTGGTGTCCCTGCAGACTGAACTGGGGCACAGAAGTGAGGAGACCCACAAAGGGGTGCTCCTCTGCAGCAGCCCTGTGCTATAACCCCGGAAAGATTCCGGCCAAGGGAGCACAGAGTGTGCAGAGCTGCTGGAGGGAGAACAACTCAAGAGATGCCCTTGCAAGCTGGTGAGGCAAATGGAGAACCACGTGTGTGCTCTGCCACTTCTTCGCAAATGGGCTGCGGATCTGGTGAGTGAACAGAGACAACACCCCCCTTCCTGGTGAGAGGAGCTGGGTTAAACTGTCCACCTCAGGCTGGTACCCGGACGAGCCAGGAGGGAAGGCACCAACCAGCACAGCCAGCGAGAGCCTCCGAGGGATCTTGGGTCTCAGCACAAACAGCGCTCACAAAATCAGACCAGGGAAGTTACTCCAAGAGCTGTCCCGTGCCTGGAACCCTGGAGATTTCACCTGCAGGATGCTCCAGGTTCCCCTCTCGAGGGATGCCCTCCTGAGTCCATTCTTCATGCGGCTCAGAGAGATGATGGTGCTGCACAACGTGGGGCAGCAACACAGCATCCCCTGGCATGGGCTCAGCACATCCCAGCTGGAAATGAACAGCCAGATCTGGCACACACACACACACACACACGAGCTGGACCACAGACACTCCTGAGGAGGTGAGCGTGGCCCAGGTACCCCCCATGATGCTGGAGCACCAGCTGGCCTGCAAAAACTGAGAGGTTTATGTAGCTGGGACTAGAAATTCAGAGCTGGGTTTGCTGCACAACCACCACAGGAAGATCCTGGTCAAATGCAGTGTTTGGTGTGGGTGCACAGGACAAGGGGGACCACCAAGCAGGCACCTTCTACCAGTACTGGTGATATCACATCGCCAGCATCTTGAGAACAGCAACTACAAGCACTGACCCCTAAAACACAGCGTGCAAAACCAACTAAACCAAGTAAATCAACTCCAACAGCCTAACGAGAGCCGAGGTGACTGCCCAGCAACGACGTGGTCAGTGTGGTACAAGCTCAGAGGTAGGAGTAGCTCCACAAAGCCCTCCCTGGCCACCACCTCAAGCATTGGTGAGTCCAGACCCTGTCTCCCACACCACTGCCTTCAGCTCCACCAGTAACTCCAGCTGCAGCTTTCCTCAGACATTCTTCCTTTGATTTAACCACCTCTGTCAGCAACTTTGGAGAAATTAGTTCAGCTGTTCCCTTGTCAAAGGAATTTAACAGCGAGGAAAAGTGCTTTGAATGAGCCAGGCAGGGCAAACAAAAATGAAATCCTCTCCAACCAAGCTGAAATCTCATCTCCCCCTGCCCATGGGTCAGGCTCACACCTCCTCTGCACCCAAAACCTTCACAACCTGCGTAACCTATGAGCCTGGAATTAATTCTCATTTCACACCATCACTGTGCTGGGCAAACCCCACTGCTCACACAGGGATGGAAATGGCATCTTCTGCACGAAGCCAGCGTCAGCTCCACCAGAGATCCCTGCCTTGCTTTGCCCTCAAACCAGGGCAAAACCCCCAGGGGAGAGCTCTGCAAACCACGTCCTGAGGGTCCTTCCCGAGCCCTCCTTCTCCATCACATCACCCCAGAAAGGGCACAGCAGGGGGTGCTGCCGAGGTCCAGCCCTGGAGAACTCATCCCATGGATGGGCAGTGGAAAACAGAGGGGACACCACGAACCCGTATGGAGGGAAGCGGAGCTTCGAGAGACAGGGAAGGGAAGCGGCAGAGGGAAATAGAGGCAGAAAACAGAGGGAAGCCTTAGCGACCTGGGTTAGCTCTGGTCAAGCTGTTTGCTGCCTGCAAAGACACAAGCTATCCCAGTTACCTATTCCCTTGCTGCAAACTGGGGAGAACATTAATCCACAGACTGCAAAAAAGCCTGCGTTTAGGTCTGGTCCACCCAAGCCCTCAGACCCCTCTGAGCAGGTTTTTCTTCTGGTTAGAAAGTCTTGGTGGTGCACAGATGCAGCCGGGAACAGACGGGAGCCGCGCTGCCTCAGAAACACGCGGGTTAAACAAAATCAAACTCAAGTGGCAGCAGCAGCTAAATAAGAGAGAAAACAAAATTATCGGAAATTCTCTCTCTTCTCCCACAGCGCATAAACAGCGGAGACTGAAAGCTATTCAAAAAGTCACCGAGGGTATTTCTTTAATAAGAAGAGAACATAGAAAACGACTGTGCAATAAAAAAAGCCAATTATCCAGGAAAGATGCACTACCTACTCAGAGCCCTGCAGAGAGAACTCACGCTCACGTGCTCTCCAGCCCGTACACGCAGCCCGCAACGAACACGGAGGGGGCACCGCATCAGAAACGGCTGTTTTTTCGGTCTGGAAACCCAGAACTAGATGCAGCTTTGCCACTGACGCTCAGCAGGGCCCCGCTTTCCATCTCCGTTCGCATGCAGAGGGTCCCGTGTCTCTGCATACGCCGAGCAATGGTGTGTGCAGATCCAGCCAGGCACCGATGAGCTGCTGCAATGGGGCAGCGATGCTCCGGCTGTGACACGGGACCAGGGAGCCCTGTGCTGTCCCCGCACAGCTCTGGGGCAGCGAAGGGCTCGCTCAGCTCTGTCCCACACAGCATGCAAGCCCATAGACGGGACAGGAGAGGCTGCTTGCTTACAAAACAGCCCCAAAACAGCACATCGGGTGAGCGGCTCCAGCGGGCAGCTGAGCCACGGCAACCGCTGCTCTCGCAAACCATCCAGGCTCCCAAAAATGCAGGGGCAAGAGGCAGAGAGCACGCAGGCAGCGCGGCACCGCGGCTCAGTCCGCCCCGGTAGCGCATTCACTGCCGCTCTGCCTCCAAACACAGCTCCGTAAAGCGGCGCCTCTGCCCATCCCTGCCCTCAAACCCGGGGCTGGGCAGAGCCGCATCGCAAATGAACGGCAGCTTTTGGGGGCAACGTGCCCTTCTCACAGCAATGCTTTTAGCGGCTCGTGAGCGCACGGCTCTCTTAATGAGAGCTGCCCAATTTTTGCGCCCCTCAGG